TGAACACACGTCTAACGCTACTTGCCAATAATCATAAAAAAATATTAACGTTAAACAAAATCCCTAATTAAAAAAAAATATTTTACGTAACGGTGTTCTAAAATTGTTTGCTTTGGAAAATTTAATAACTCGGTAAATATTGATGTTTAAAGAATTTAAATGTTTAATACAACTTTAAAAAGTTATATATATATAAGTGTGTTCATTTATTGTCGCGATGGTAACGACACGCTGTATGTTGGTACTTATGTTGACGCTACGTGTGATTGATATATAGGGATGCCATACATGATCATTACCATGTATTTTCTTAAATATGGGTTCAGATTTTTTTAAGAACAGTTGCGGTAAATGATACTTTCGCACCATTTCTTTATTAATCAAAATAGTTCCGTTTGTTAGACACTTAAATGTAAGATTTATGATTTTATCGCACAACTTAATATATTTAAATATACAACGGATGTTCCTTGCTATGGGTAAATCTGTTTTTATGTTTTACAGTTTCCACACGGTAGACAGACATTTATTAAATTGAATTGATTATTTGTATTTATAACAATAAAGAGTTAAATAAATATCTATACGAGTATGTTTAATTTTAATCGTAATCGAAGGCCCCTAAGACCAACAGTGGCTCATCCAGCCCAAAAAAGAACTAATTATATTACTTACTCTTTGTTTTTTATCAACCTTAACATTGGTGGAGGCATCAAGTTATATATTGATGTAGCCATTAAACCAAAATTGGAATGGGAATACAATGATGTTTAATAATATGATGCATGTCCACACAGCACGCAATTGTTAAACGCCGCACGTTTAACAATTGCTTTACATAATATTACATAATATATAAGTGGACGTGATAGATGATGTAGGATGTATGATACGAAAGAGATAGCAGTCTGTGGAACTGCTAAATCATTGCACCAATTAGCGTAAGTTGAGTGCCTCACTTTCTGTGTGCTTATGTCATATCTACTTCGTAGTTACATATAATATCATTGATATTATAATGTACATGGATTGGTCTAATCTAGTATCGAAAAAGAAATATAAGAAGTAGTATATATAAGTAGTAGTAAAATAGTATAAGTAAAAATAACTGCAATAAAAATGTAAAATGCCGATTTTTATGCTTAATTTAAAACCTTATATTACATAAATTCAGGAACATACGCTATTTTATTTCCATTTGCACACGGAATTGCATTTAAACCGAATCGCTCTTACGATATTGTCGCTCAGTCTTTTAAAATCGTTCACGAGCAACTACACAGGTGGGCAATTTAATTCAAACTCTTTTACTACGATTTAGAAAGGTTTTTCAGTAAAATTTGAAACATTTCCCTCAAATATGTTATATTTTGCTATTTCTTTATTCGTTTTGTTTCTCTAGTTCGATATTAAGAGATAAATATTTTGTTTGTTTTGTGTTAGTTATGGTAACAAAATTTATTAATTTTTGTTATTTTTAGGGTTCCGTACCTTAAAATGTAAATACCAACTACCTCAAGTTTATTGCGCCTACGATTTATTTTATTTAAATTTATTTTTTAGCGGCAACAGAAATATATCATCTTTGAAAATTTCAACTGTCTAACTATCATGATTCATGAGATAGAGCCTGGGGACAGACGGACAGACGGAAATACAGACAGACAGACAGCGGAGTTTTAGTAATAGGCTCCCGTTTTTCGCCTTGGGTACGGAACCCTAAAAAGTTGAAAGTTAAAGTAAATTTTGGTACTCAAGTTGTTGCGGAAATCTAAACTTGCCTATATCTTTTTATCGTGTTGACTCAGGACCTTAACTTTTTAAAAACTTAATAGGAACTGCAGACCTCATTATCTGGTATAAATTTCAACCAGCTAGGTTCAACTTGTTACTGGAGTACGAGTTCGACTCGCACTTGTATAATCTTTTTGTTAATTATTTAATTATTTTGTTAATCTTATAAACAAGTTAGTTAGAATTTTTTACTACACGACATGATAATTTTTAGCGTATTTATTTTATACTTATGTTCAATTCTCTCGTTTCATCACGATTTTTTCTCGTATCACAAACTGATTTAACGTAGAAAAAATAATTGGCCCATACTTTTATTCAATGTTTAACAACTGCTGAAATAAAAACATTTTTTTTACCGTTGGGGTTTGAAATATAGAGTATAAGGGAATATAAACAAATTGCTTTTTAATCTCCCATCTTATAGATAAGATATTAGTAATCTGGTAAATACATGGGCTAGCTTTTTGCGTACTAATTTTTTTACTTGGTTTAAAGTTTTAGTTTCATTACGTTTCCTTATCCAAATACAAATTGATGTAACCTATAGAAAACAATTGATAAATAAATATATATAGTGCAACTCAAATTAATTTCATTTCTTTATGCGAACGTTAATTTCCGCACCTCGGTATCGGTATCTCTTCACGTAGTCTTTGGCTAAAGGAAAGAAAATAAAAGATAAAGAATAGGTTTAACTTGTTGTTTTCATCAATTTTATTTAGTTCAAGACTCCCTGTTGTTTTTAAGGCTAAACCATAGGCCTACCTATAGTGTTCTATTTAATATTTTAACACTGAGATGTAGAGTCTAAAGTTAATTGAAACTTTTTTAAATAATCAAATTTATTTAAGATTCACCTCACGAACTGGCCTCATCGTACATTCAAATAATATGCTAATGAATATGTTTTGAAAGGCCAGGAGATATTCATATTTTCTTAAAACACAAGGTGGATATTAAATAAACTAGTCGACGTTTTAATTTATTTAAAGAAAGAATTCTACTTGAGTATATAACGAAATAAATAAATATTTTTCTAAGTAGTGTGGATAAATGACCCATTAACTTAAAAATATTTTAAATATTAAATTGTGCAAACCAATATTGAGTCTATCCCGTAACTATGAACATTGAAAAAAGTTAAAAATAAACACGATAAATCTGTAAAAATAGTTTCATTAGTAATATGTAATCGCGTAAATACAAGAAATTATAATATTGAGGATAAGTAAAACTCTAATATTTTTTTTAATTTATGAGGTTTATTTAAACTAGAAGCAAAAAGTCATTTGTATTTATTACATGAATACTAACTTCGAGATATTTGAATGTAAATAAATGTTTTGTCGTATATACTCTCAATTTAATTTAACATCAAGTTATACTTCAATTTGGCTGTCTACGAAGTATTCATATTTGAGATAAATAAAAGTTTATAAAAAGTTAGTGTGAGGATAATTAAATTAATTTACGGATTTATAGTCCATAATCACGGGATAGACAAGCTGCCCGTGATAACGGACTCATATAAAATGTGCGAAACGTATTCGCTGTTTACTAACGGAAAATTAATTTAATGCAATTGTCATTTCTTGCAAATTTCTTGTTTAACCTTTTTCAGTTCGAAACTGTTTCTGCGGGTACTAGAGCCGAAAAAAGACAGATTTTTAGATTTTATATGAAACAATATGAAAAACTGTTAACAGTTCGTTTCTTAAGTTAGTTTTCTTTCAGTAATTCCCTTGGATATTGGCTTAGCGGACGATCTATCAGATATTTATAAAGAATAAATTATTCTACAGTATTCGAAAAATAATTGAGTGAGGACATTAATTAAAGTTCATTTTAGCTTCACGCCTATTACGCCGCAGCTGAAATCAATGACATTATTTCGTTATTTTATTCAATTTCAATCGAACGATAATGAGTCGCAGTCAGCAATCAGTTCGTGGACCCGCAACCTAATTGCTGTCAACATAATCATTGGTTCTTTAATAAACATAATTCTTTATTAATATACATATTTATTGTTAATTTAATAACCTCCCTGAAGAGGTGCATCTTTTTATAGAACAGGTGACACGATATAACTGTCACCTTCCACAACACTTAAGGTTGTGGAAGGCCATGGGTGGTATGGTTTTTCACAACACATCAAGCGAAACGACAAAGATAAATATTCCTCTTCTGTAAGGCCGAGCTATTTACTAGCCGTCTCATTCATGAAATAGTAATATATGTGTGCTACAGAAATAATGCTGTACTATCATAACACAACGGAGTTTTTAGCAGAACAGTTATTAGTTATCTCAGCGCCTCTGAGTTCTCATGTAATTTGAGCTAAATGTTTCATACAAACTGTAGAGATGAATGTACGATAGCGAATATTACAATATACAGAAGACAAAGAAGTCCTTTTATAATACTAATTTTAATAATTAAGGTGATATTATACTTTGTTAATTTCCCACAAATTTATATTTTAACTTACAGTGTTTTAATATTAAAAAAAGAGCTTCTAAACGAGTCTGGGATACAAGACTTGTTCAGAAGTTTATTTGTGTATATTTGTATAACATTAATGCTAATATATAATTACCTAATTGTCTTCATTAAAAATAAATGAAATTGATTTGTATTTTTTTGTTTGTGATAGATAATTTCTGAAAGTAATAAATCGATGAATTATTATGCCACTGATGTTAAACTATGGTATCCCCGTGTAGTTTATTTTAAAAGTAGTTTAAGGTTAAAAAAATATTTAGATGTAGTTAGAAGGCAAATACAAAACTGACAAATTAGACAGTAGTTCGACTACAAATTTTTCAATAGATTAAATTTAAGTCCCTATTCAGTAAAATTTTTGTTTTTGGATAAATATTGCTAGCCCTGCGAAGCCGGGACTGGTCAGTAGTCACTAGGTATTTAATATTTGACTTCTTGATTTTACGCGAACATATACATAATAAATGAAACTAGTTAACGGATTTTAACGCGTTTTTATTTTGATTTAAACCCTTCGGTTTCGAACCCTTTCCAGCGCTCAGGGTCACGCTGGAAAGGGTTCGAAATGTCGGGAATTTCGAATGAACATAAATACGCGTTAAATTCGTAAACTAGTTTCATAATATATTTAATATTTGACCGCCTACTAATGTTGAAAGTTATGACAACACCGAATAACTGTAATATTGAACACTTACGAAAAACTGTTAGCTGTTTCGCGCTGGACTCTTTTGTGTAAATCGGTGCATCCAAGGACACTTCACATGAATAGCTGCCACTCGCCGCGAAATCCAGGTTCTGTAGGATGATTGAGTTCTCCGTCGCAAGTGCAATCTGTAATGCAGTATTGAGAATTTATTATATGTACACAATGTTTTTAATGATGCCAAACGGACACTTGTATTACTGTCCCACGTTTTTTACGATGTAGATTTTAATGTGAATGTGATAAATTTAATTTTCGCCATATTCTGTTAGTTTATTACATGTCTTGTAGTTGTATTAACAGTCTGTGTATAGAAAATCAGTCATATAATGAGTCATCATTTTTAAATCAACCGGTAAATTTTGTCGCTGCTATGGAGGTCATTTAGAAAATCGTAAGGATCAGTATTTTTTGTCTAGATGAACAAGAGAAATATAGTTAGTTATATAGTTTTCTTATTTCTAACCGTGCGGATTGTGTTTGCGCTTCCAAGTTGAAAGAATGCCTTCATTTATGTGAACGTTAAAAGATATCATGAATGTATTGGTTCTCTTATAACAACAAACAACAAGGTATGGACAGCTTCACTTATCACCGTATACAAAAATTATTGAACTATGTTAGAGGTTAGGTTTCATAGATTTTTAAGATTTGATAATATTAGATTTAGTAATATTTAAAAAAAATTGTGCTAATAGTTTTTTTGAAGTTGGTTCAGAACTTTAGTTTTAGTGAATCAAATTGAATACTTAGGTATTATACAATATCGGTTGAATATTACTCAATCAGGAAAATCTTAAGTATGCGTATTAAAGATGGAAAAAATCTTCATGAAAATTGTTAAATGAAACGATTTTACGTGTTTTATCACGTTATTGGAACACTTTACAGCGTCTCGTCTTAGTGTCAAAGTTAATTTTAGCTGAGTCAATAATTTGATTATTTATTTTATTCTGATCTACGCAAAAGGACCATATAGTATCTTGAGGTGCAGTAGTGTGAGTGTGCTTGGATGTTATTTTATAAATTATGGGATCCAAGCTGACGATAAACCCCAACCTTCTTTTCTATTGAAATTAGAATGTTTCTATTTTCAGTAGCCTTGCGGATCATCTTTGGGAGGAATTTTATTGCCATAAATAACCAAACTACACCGCATAAATAATATTCGCTCAAAAGTTTTCCACGAGCTTGAATAAATAGGGATGAATTAAGTTTAATAATACTTTCGTATATTTCTCCTTTCAAATGGAAACTGCACACGCAATTCCCACTAATTGTGTTGTTTGTAGGTTATAGCGAATAGGGAATAATATGGTCTAGCACGTAGAAAATTAAACTTCTACGTTCCCTCACTGGCCCGGACTGACCTGAAAGTGAGGTCGACCTGTTACGCCCTCGTGCAATTAAATGAGCCGTGTGCATGCAACGAAACGTTATGCACACCGATTTAACTTCGGTGCACCTATGCACTTCTTTGAACGTGGATATACCACATAGTCGTTGTGGGTAGTGTACCTGCGTCCCGCCAAAGGGTGTGGGTTCGATCCCCACTACTGGAAAAATATTGTGTGATGAACATAGTGTTTTTCTAGTGTCTGGGTGTTTATATATGTATAATATGTATTTATTTACAAAATAAAAGTATGTTTAAGTATGTTTATCAGTACAAGCTTTGCTTAGTTTGGCAATACAGAATGTTGTGTAAAAATGTGTCCTGAAATATTTATTTATATGCACGTACCCCTGCTGTCCACAGACTTGGTCTGTATGTAGTGGGAAAAGCGCCTAGAAACTGTGAAACTTTAAACAGTAATTTCAATTCACGGCCCGCGATTGTCATTTGAAAGGTCCTTTATGTATAATTAAAAATAGAGAATAGATTTTTTTAATAACGTTAAAAAATCTGTTCTCTATTTTTAATTAAGTATAACAAAATGGGATACGGTAATTTTAAACATAACATTGTCTAAAATGTCATACAACTTCATTCTTGCTACTAAGAAAGTTATTCATTGCAAATTACCAGTGCCAAAAGGGAGATTGGTAAAGTGGGGGATATTATAATTTATATAACAGTGATATCAGGAAGTAAGGATTAGTAAGTTAACGTGGGACTGTGCGGGTCATATAGCTCGTAGAAGCGATAAATGAAAAGCAGTACTCGAGTGGCAGCCTCCAATTAGCCATCGCAGATGTAGTGTATGTGAAGGTATTATATTAAACACCGGCATGTTCGTATACAAACTACCCTACTACATTACACGTATAAATACCACTGTCTCGAACGCAACACGTTAGTATCACGAGAGCCACGGGCGAGAGTGAACGTGTAGTGAAGTTCCATCACTAAACTAGTGCGTGTTCAAGCCTGTGATTATCTTCGATCAGTTACACGTCATAAGTCTACAGCAGAGTAGGACGACACCTCACTAGATGGTGTGACGACCTGAGGAAGTGTGCGGGATATCGATGGATGCAGGTGGCTCAGGATCGTTCTTTGTGGCTGTCTGTGGGGGAAGCCTATATTCAGCAGTACACTCTAACAGGCTGAAATGATGATGATGATGATGAATATCAGAAATATATACATCATCCCCCGTAATATGCATATGCTAAGTTCATCACAACAATCTTTTCCGTAACAGAGTAAATGTTAACTAACGCGGTTAAAGATACAGAAAGCAGTGTGTATATTATTACAAAAAAGTCAAGATGTTTATTTCAGTGAATCATCGTTCTAAATTCATAATGATTCAAAGACCTTCATAATGATAAATGATGTGTATGAGACTGTAGTGATCTTCTGATGTCAACACATGTCCAACATAATTGCTTATCTCATTTAATGGGGTTCTTAAAAACTATCACCTTTATGATATTAAAGATGTTTTTACTGATAATGACATGTTTCTAGTCGGCAAGCTGCAACTAACTGAAACACATTTATTTACACATACACTCTTACTTAAACATCATATGCAATCCTCTATTTATTACCATAAATCCTTCTCTGCTGTTGCTGTTCAACTCTGGAATTCTTTACCTTTGGCGACTAAACGTGATCAAACCCTAGATTCTTTAAACTAAAAAAAACAGGTTAAGATGCATTATCTGTCTATCTATCTCTATATCTTTCGACGTCTCTTTCCATCCCTTTTTATTTTTTAACTTTATGATTACTTACAAGAGGTATGTTTTTCTTATTAATTTAATTTTGTTTGCTACTTTCTTTTTATTTCTTTTCATGTACATCCTATCCATCAACAATTCCTTTTGGGAAATTTCTGAGGTTGCCTTTAAGAAATTGCAGTGGAGCAATAAGGTTGCCTTTTGATGACCAATAAGGTTGCCTTTTGATGACCAATAAAAAAGTAGAAAAAAACTAAATATTAATATATTTAGTTTTTTTCTACTTTTTTATTTTTTTGGTGTACAATAAAGTATATTATTATTATTATATATATATTTTTTACCAAATTTATTAAGTACACAAAACTTAAGTAGCAAATGCTAATTATCTTGGTATATGCATAAACTGACCATACGTCCCATTTTGAACGGGACTGTCCCTTTTCTCGGATAGCTATCCCTTTGTCCCCGAACAAATCTTCGAGACACAAAATTGTCCCGTTTTCCGAAACCGCACGAAATTTAAAACCACGCTCGTCAGACATGATCATGAGCATCGTGGAACCGCGATCGGTTATTCCCGATTATTCCCTGCATGCACGCGCCCCCGGTTAAGGGAAGGGAGTATTCGTTTCTTTCAATAGGCTAGCCATGCGCATGTATATATTCTTCATGTTTTTGTATAAAGTTCGTCGAAAATACCGTTAAGTGATAATAATATTTGCTCATCGAATGAGCTTAGCTTTAAGCTTCCTTACACGGCGGTTCAATAAATCATTGGACGAAAATCGAATATTAAATTTTAAAGACATATTATCAAAAACCGTGTAGCTGAAATGCACACCCTTCACGGTGCAATTTGTGAAAAGTCAAAAAGCAAACTAACTTAATCCTGTCTTGAGTCCAGTTAAATTGGTTCTAACCATGGATCACCTTAACCTTGATATTCCATCATCATAATGAGACCTTTTGCACACTTCTCCATTGAGACGTAAACGATATTTTTCAGCCCCTGCTCAGATATTTTAGTAGTCACAATCTAATCTAATCTAATTTTCACACGGAAATTTTTGTACTCGAATCTGAAACTGTTTCGGTGTGAAAGAAATTGGGTATCCTTACACTTCTGTAGGGATACTTAGTTTCCTTGACCTCGATAAATTACGCAAGCTTGAAGTATGAGTAAATCTCTACTTCTTACATCTGAAGCTGAATAAATTCTTATTATTTCATAGACACGTTATATTATGCAGAAACATTTGGGTAAGTATTGTTAATAACTTGTAAATATTGTTAATTTGCTTTAAATCGGTGATTATTTCATGAAAAAATCGTTGTTGGTAAATATTTACTGAATGTTCACAAAACCTTATTTAATGTAAATAGCGCGGTTGTAATTGCTTCTAACTTTGACCAGAAAAACTAACTTCACTTGAGCTAACCCGCCAGACATCTGAGTTTGTAGCTTTTAAAATACGTATGAAAAACTGATATTATTTAGTTAAATTTTTTATATATTTTTTAAATGTCATGAATAACGTACAGTATTGATCCGAGTATATAGAGTAGATTGCTATATATATCTACACAGTTTAATGATATTGTTATTTTTAATCTAGCTTACTATTGTTTATGTATATATTCTGTTTGTCTGTAAATAACTATTTTAAAAATACTGCCCGATTCTTTAAATTTTGTATTTTAAACTAATTATAATACCTAGACTTGATACACCCTCATCATCCTATCACCGTGTTTGAGTCCTCTGCTGAACATAGGCCTCTTCCACGAACTGCTACAAAGCAGTATCCTGACCTAACAGCACCTATCGATTTCCCGCTCATTTGCAATGGTCGTCAATCCATCTAAGAACTCCTCTTATATTGCGATGATGTATACATTGCTGCCTTTCGAGAATCTTTCCTTCCTATCGGATGTAAGTACTACGAGCAATATACATTGCTTTAATATTTTACACGATACCAAAAGTACTCACATTAAGAACAGCACCGGGCGTAGTGAAGTTTCTGTAAGGCGGTTTTCTGTCCCTTATATACTGAAAAATCTTGGTGCCGTGACGCAGGAAGACCACCTTATCGAGAAGATGAGGGGGCACGTCGTGCACGCAGCGCAGACGCACGGAGCCCCCACGGGTTGCCCAACGCTCCATTTGCAGTTCTACTCGGACTTCTGTGTGTCCACGGGCTGAAAATAGGTCTGTTTAAACCTTTTTGTACAGTTGCTAACGAGGTTTTAACGGCGTAGACCGGTATGTATGCTGTCAACCTGACGGTAGGACTACAGGTAATCACAAAAGCGAACGGAAACATATTTTAACTTGAGTTGGTCTTCTGTGGAGTTGAAGTAATTAACTTGTCTTGTTGTTAATAATTCTAATAAAACATAGCTGAAATCAAACTTTACCCTTTATAAATGTAACAACTTGAGCAAATATGATTATAAATGTATGGAAAAAAATTGTGCATCAAATGATCCCAAAACACTGCTAAACAAAAAAACATAAAGCCCTAAAGGTTGAGTTGCCAACAAATACGATAAGATTTACGCCCGGTTTCTTAAATACTGATCATCGTAGATGTCAACTAATCAGCTGTCAAATGGATTTTCAGATGTTATTTGAGTTACCAAAAGGATCGTTAAACTCTTTGAATTGATCATTCTGATCATTAAGAAGATCATTCTGGTCAATTCAGAGAGTTTAAACATGATTACATTTGTTACAACAACTACGATGATCAGTGTTTCAGAAACCCGGCGTTAATCTTTATTTCTTTTTGTCAACTCTGCACTTCCTTATAACCTATTATCTGCCACCGTATAATCGTGTAACTTAGGTATATACGGTTCAGAGATTCTAAAGTATGCTGCAAGATATTAAAGATGGAAATATATTCGAATAAAAAATAATTTATGATCAATATATTTATAATCTGCATAATTATACAAATTTTACGAATTAAAACGTAATCGATTAATCCAGGAATAAAACAGACCCTTTTCAAATGTCAGTTCTAATTTTAGGAGAAGAAAACGGGCTTAAAGGAAAGCCTTATACGTACCATGTAAAAAAAGTTGGAAAAAGACTTTACGAACTGTCCTTTGTAAATATTGTCTCTGGTAATCGAATACTAGAGTCGCCCCATGTCTGCTCTGTATAAAATTAGGACTACAGATAAACACAAACGTCATGCGCAATCATGTGAAATGGACGTATTAAGAGAAAGTTTCTCATTGCTGTTGCGTGCTGAGAACCATTCCCTTCAGTTTATGATTTAAGCGTTACACGGGTTGTGTTACAATGCAACTTTAGGTTAGAAAATGAATTGAATTTTCTTGGGGAATTTCTTAGTATAAAACATCTTCGCTATATTATGAAATGCGATGAAATTACATATTAAACAATTAAATACTTTCAAAAGGAATCAAATAAGTTTTTTATAACTTTTAAATGTATATATTTTTAGAAATAATCATACGGCGATTTTTCCTAAGCGTTTTAATCCATGCTAAAAGTAAAGATTTTTAGTTGTCCAATTAGAACTCTTGGTAGTCATGGTTGCTTTGAATGGGATTCTAGCATGGAATCAGATTTTGGATTATAAATTATACACGCCTTTGTTGGAGAGAGTTCTATTTTATTATTTAAATGCACGAGGCATGTACGTGCGACAGTGGCGTAATATCGAGGGAATTAGTTGGTTTAGAAGAAGCTTATTTTTATTCAAATTTAATACTATTTTTGTTATAGACACCATTTTTCGTCTTTGAAATGGTCATATTGATATTTCGCACCTTTTTCTTGACATGTCTTGTCAGGAATTTTTTACGGTATGTTTACGGTAAAAACAATAAACAAAATTACCATTTACCTATATATTATATTTATATTTTTAGTATGCAATTTTCATTCTCGTCTAATATCCCAGATCTGGAACAATTATTTGTTGGTTACCCGATTACTTGTTCCGTTCGGGAATTAAACCAAAGACCTCCGACGAAGAAGCAAATAGCTTAGCAACGGCGCCATCGAGTCATCATCATAATAGAATCACATCGTACGAAAAAAAGTTTTGATAATTTTCTACCATTTAAGATACGTCAACAGTAAAACTGTTAATACTTCTATACATAATACGTTTATAACACGAATTGTTATTTGATATGAGGGTATTATAGGACGTGAAACTTTTTCGTTGATTTATGCGCCGTTTGCAACACATTATGATTATGAAGTAAATTTATGCGTGGTACGTTTCATGGAATAATGTACTTTTAAATAGCAATGGCCGTAATCACGAAAATATATATGAGCAACAATGTCACTGCAAAAACACTGGTGTATTTAAAAAATATTTCCGGCAACAGGAGCAACATTGCTTGAATTAATAATTTAAAGACGAAGAAATAATCATTTTATTTTATTTAATAAATATTTAATGCAAATTTTCACGTTAATATAATTATTCATTAGGTAGGTTTTTTTGCAACTTTCTTGCTGGCTTTGACAGCTTCGGCGGAAGAGGTATGTTGCGGGCGGATGACCCGAGGAAACGGGAGAACAACGTAGGTGGTGCACGAAGACAACACGAAGAGGCCTTTAAACAAGAGGGGGGGGGGGGGGCACGACTCGATCCAAGGGAGGATCAGATGGAGGGATGGGGACCTACCCAGAGGAAGGAATAAGGTTCAAATTGCGATATAATCCCGAGACGTATCGGCGTCGCACTATCCTTTGTATACATCGGTATTTAGTAAGTTTTTTAATAATAATGTCTTATATTCACACATACATGGTTCGACCGTTCAATGGTGCTTGGACTTAATTAAATTACTTTTAAGATCCCTTTATGGCGATAGCCGAAAAAGTTTTTGAAAATTTTTAATCAGCTTATGATGATATAAAGACGGATGTTAAATGAAAGCCGAACTTGTTATTTCACCAATATGAAAAGTAACTTCTTTATTAAGTTCACTATTTGATTATTTTAGTTTAATAAATTATTAATTTATTTATTTTTTAGACATGCGAACAGTATACATATTAAAAAAATAGTGATATAACATTACATTATGTTCTTATATGTACACCAATGACAGGTATGTACAACTTTTACAAATATGGCACATACCGTTATTAGAAACGAATTTAAAGTTACCATAAATAGTTAATAAAAAAATCTTATTATAAATTTTATTAATATTGTCGCATGTCCTTGATTTGCCGCCATCATTTGACACATGGATTCACAACTCAATTATTTAGGCATTGCAATAATCACAGGGAAAACAATTACACTGAGAGTGTTTGACGTCCACCGTTGTGTTAATGTTGACATATCTTTGCTATTGACTATCCTATTATCCCAAAACGACTTCTGAATAAATATAATTGAATTGTGTGAAGAAAAATACGGAATATGCCTGTAATCTGTAAAAGTAAAATGGCCCACTGTTGGGCAAAGACCTCCACTGTACAGAGGGTGCTAGGGCATAGTCCACCACGCGACCCCACTGCGGAAAGGCGAACTTCACATATTTTCGAAATATTTTTCTTATTATTATTTCGAAAATATGCAGGTTTCCTCATGATGTGTTCCTTCATCGCCGAACACGTGATAATTCAGCACTTAAAATTAGCATTTTCATTGGTGCCGGCACCGGGGATCGAATTCAGGTTGCTCAAGTATATTGAATTAAAAGCGAGCGCCCGGATAATGAGGTGTCACGGCTCTTACTCCGTCCTTTTATTTAAATCAAAGTTTTGGTAACCTAGTATTTATGTACACGTCATAGTCATGAAATCCATATTTTGGTCGGTGATTAGGAATCATCACAAGTAATTATTCTCACATGGAATAAAGTAAGAGATTAATATTCATTTCTAATCGTCCGTACTGAGGGTAGTAATATTTCACGTTATATTACATCCTCCTTGCTTTGTATAAGTAAGCCCATACGCGACTATGTGTGTGAACGGGAGAACCGCGTACGTGGGCGGGTCGGGAATTGTAAATTATGAACGACCTTAGATCCATTTGAATTCCATTCCTACGCCCAACCTGTATCAAGAATTCTGAAGAGTTTGCAGATCAGCCAATTGGCACGTCAAGTGCAAGACTTGTGAATAACTCTTCTAAAGGAATCGAACCTTTGGGTAGATAGAACAGAGGCTTAAAATGAAGAAACAAAAATATCTTAGAACGTTATACGCGATAAAATACCCTACTTTTTTTATTTAACCATAAAAATTGTCAAGTCAGTAAAGAGTATAGTGATATTATATTTCAATTACATTACATGGGATGTGACATATATATATGTAAAGAGCGTGGCAAACTCCCATGGCAATTTTATACCAAGCTGCGCAGAAGCGGCTCTACATATAAGCCAAACTAATGAAACATCTATAGTTATATAAAAATATTTTTTTTATTAATAATAAAATAATTAAGGTTACCACTGATTAACAATGACATTAAGGTGTAAAACAACTCATTTAGTATATAATGTTCGAAAAATAGAGAAATTAAAATTAAAATAAAACTGAACTGTCTTAGTGTTTAGATTTAATATTTAATTATAGTCTCTGTGACTATGAAATACACGAGAGAAATGAAGAACTTCTAGCGTGGATGCAAGAAGACGTAAGTAAGTAGTTACCATTTTGAAATTTGAAAAGACTTATTGTGTTACGGAGGTTAAGATTACCAAATATTAAAAAGATATCAATATCGTTTAGGTATGTAAGTTAGATGTTTTTTCAATAAACTTACAATATTTAATTAATAAATTACGAAGTGTACTACTACTGTGCAGGGTTCAAATCACTGAAAAATGTTAAATGAATATAATCAATCTGTCTACTTGTAGTATAATTTTACTACTTGTGGAATTCGTAACAAATTCATTACATGTTTTATTGATTACTTGACTGTAATGACTATGGTGTAAAATAAATGTATTAGAAAATATTGTACGAAAGCGTTAAATTTAGAAAAATCTCGCATGCAAAAGCGATATTAGGTATTATTCATGTTTCAGGAGTCAGTAGGGAAATAATATGACGCAAACATGCGGTTGATTTCCTAAAAACGAGTTAGTTTCGTGTCATACTAACATTCTTGTTACAGTAGCTGTGACTGTAATATA